GCCATGTGAATGTGAAAGTGACTCAAGTTAAACATAAAATTGATATGGCCCAGACTTAGGCCTGGGATCCACTGAACTATTAGTAACGTCCCCTTGACTTTCAGAAGTGTTGCAGTGTAGACCTAAAACTACACACTTATCCAATCATCATGATGGAGCCCAAGCTCAGTGCTGCCTCTACCCAGAGGACTTTCACAATCTTTTATATATTTATTTTCCTGGCTGAAATTAATCAAATGCAGCCCACGTCCTTCCACTAAGCTTCACACCATGCTCCTGTAGAGTGGAAGCTGTCATTTTCCCAAATGAAAAATCCCAAATGTCTTCTTATACCTAGAACTGCATCTTTAGAGAGCTGGCATTGACCTCTGGGTGATGCAGGCCTCAGGGAGACACATACCCTGAAATGTTCAGAGCTGAAGAGCTTAATGCGTTAGAGTCGAAGCAGATGAAATCAGCTTAGGATAAAATGCTTAAAACAGAAAGTGACAAAAGGTTTCAACATCATGAATTGCTGTGGAAAAGCTTGATGAATGTTTGGGGATTTCTTAACCCAGGCAAGCTGCAATGATGACTGTCCTCGGTTAGGTTGTGAGCAGCGAGGTTCCGATTCCCTTTCCTCCAGCAGCAGCCATAACATTCAGTCTTGTCATCGGCCACTGTACAGACATTCTCCCTCCTCTGCTCACTCTGAAGAATCCTTTTCCCCTATAGGACAATAATTTCCTCATCTCAGCATTGCCAGACCTCTGTTTTATGAGATCTTGGAGGCTCAAAGCAGTTATCTGCTGCCATCCCAAACAGTCTACACTTTCATCTCCAGCAGAGGAGATCCAGCCCCTTTCCAAACAAACATTATTATGAACATTTTATAAAACTCAGACTGAGAGAGCTCCCTGGAGCCTCTTCAGAACGGTCTAATGCAGCAGTCTCCTCAGGAGGCCACACAGAGGAACCTGTCCTGCCTCCTCCCCAACCACTCTACCCCCTCCTGGAAGGAGGGCAAGAAACTCAGTGCCTGCTGCCCACAGTTAAAGGGACAGCAGTCAGGAGACCAGGAGAGGCCAGTGGCAGGTACATAATGGCCCGCAGGTATGTCCAAAGCCTACTTCCTGTTCCTTGCTATTCATAGTCCTAATCCCAACACTAATCCTAATCCTCACCTTAATCCTAATCCTAATCCCTGTTTCACTCCTAAACCAGTGTTTTCTTCTATAACAAAAAGAAAGTTTACAACTTTCTTCTACCAGTTGTAAACTAAAGAGTTTGAGATGGGGAGGTTATCTTGGATTATGCAGGTAGGTTCCGTGTAGGATCATATATATTCTTTAGAGAAAGTAGCAGAGAGAGATTTCACACACACATGAGGAAAAGACAAAGTGACCACAGAGGCTGAGGCTGGAGTCAGGATAATGGAACTGCTGATCTCGGTTCCCCTTTGCCAACAAGAATAGCGTTTGAGGAGATGGAAAGTAGTTCATTTGCTTGTCGACAAATGAGGAGGGTAGCAGAGGCTGAAAGATCACTGTCCTGCTCACTGGCAGAGCATAGTGTTGAACTGGAGTTATAAGGGTATGAAAGAGAGGCGTGGGTGAGAGCGACACGCCCCCTTTGTAATATATGGGTCCGGTGACTTGTTTGGTCACTGTCTGGTGCTCAGCAATTCTGATGCTGTCTTTGCCAGGTTCCGTCCTTGGCTTTGTTTTGAAGTTTCTTTGCAGCAAGGCCCTTTGTCATCACCGTGCAGGGAAAAAGCAAGATATTAGCTGAACATACAAACCAAGGTTTGTTAAGTGTGCAGGGTGAAGAAGGGGTCTCTCTCCAAGGCAGGAGAGATGTTGCTGAATTAGTAGCATGGCCACAAGCCCAGGGATGTCAGCAGGAGACACTGGCAGAGGCAAGGGACACACCATCCCCTGGAGCTTCTAGGGAGCACAGTCCGACCTACAACTTCCTTTGGCACACACTGATTTTGGAATCTAGACACGGAAGTTAGAGTAAATATGTGTTGTTTTAAACTACCTAGCTAGTGGTGTTTTGTTGCAGTGGCCCCGGGAAACTGAGGCAGACAGTCAATGCAGAGCTGGGCTGTAAAGCCAGGAGGGGCTCAGGCGGAGTCTGAGTAGCCATGTTAAAGGAGTTCCCAGTCAGTCAAGGGGTATGGGGGTTGGGTAGGGCTCAAAGGCACCTGAGAACAACTGACGTTGTAGGGTGAAGCCTGAGCAGCGACTGGAAATCAGAACAAGGGCCGCAGGTTGGGGTGGACATGACACAGACATGTAGTCCCTTCAGCATCCCAGACGGTTTGCAAGAGGGCAATTTCCCTCTTCCTACTAAAGGGCAAGGTGACTTGAGGACCCTGCCAGATGACAGACAGCGTGGGTTACATTCTTATTAAGGTCGAGGACTGAGAATGAACAGAAGCAAGCAAGAATGAACAGAAGCATTGCCCCAGGGTGTGGGGCAATGCCACGAGCGACTGTATTTTTAACACCCCCACCATGCCCATCTCTCCCCTTGCAGTATAAAAGGCCCCAGAGCTCTGGCTTTGTCTGGCTTGGAAAGGCTTTGCCAGACTTTCTTTCCTGGGGAGGTAGGGGGAGGCGCCACTGTTTATAAGGGGCACCCGCCTCCCGATACTCTTCCTGGAAATCCTCCCATGCCTGGTGCCTGACCTTGGCCATGCCTGGGAGAATGTGAGATCAAAGGAAAGAAAGTGCTCCTTTCTGGTACTTCAATCAGGGAGAGAAGCAATTAAAATATGAATTAATCTAAGTGAGACGAAAATGCAGATGTAGAACAAGAGCATCTTGATCACCTTGAACCTGCACTGCGTGCAGTTAGCGCCTGTGATTAAAGATATTTTCATGCCATTAAAAGCCGTCTCTTCTAATGTTATGAACCCTGTCATTCAAATGCTCTGAGCAGCCCCTGTGAGTGCTGCCCTCTCTGGGTGAGTTCCTTGATCCTTTCTGAGTGCTGGGGTGGCAGAGCAGGAGATGCTGGGGGCCTGAGGCTCATTGGCCGCAAAGGATTCTCAGCTAGATGGAAAGAGTCACAGCATGTGCCTCCTTTCGAATATGTCTTGTCGGGTGTCTGGACAACTCTGTGCAGCCCCAGCCCTGGATGCGGGGCACTGGGGGAGAGTTGGGGAACAGGAGAGGAGCCTATTCCCAAAGCTCCATCATCCCTTCAACCTTCTGGGTATCCTGGCTTGCTCCTTTGCAATGAGGGGTTTCTGCAGTATTTGCCTCCAGAGCTTTGCTCTGGCTTTTCTGTGGCCAAAAGGACCCTCTGCTGCCCCTCTACCCCCACATGGATGCAAGTAGGGAATGTCTGCTGTCAGCCTCTGAAGCACTGGTGCTCCCAGGCTGGCACCCCTGCTGCCTTGGACCAGCTTCCTCCTGTGCCTACCCAGTGTCTGACTCTACCTTTTTTCCTTTTGGCTGTTGTTGTCCACGCACTTGTCAGTCTGTGGGAACTGATATTACTTCAGTTTTCTCTTGTCTACTTTTCTCTTCCCTCCCCACTCCACCTGCTTTTGTGGCCTGGGTGCAGGGCTTTAAATATATGTATTTTGATTCATTAATCATGGGAAAATAGTTCTTTGCAATAATAACAAATTAAACATGTTAATAGTTGGGAAAGAGGAGGAAGGAGTTTGAAGCTTGGAACTTAAAAAAATTCATCTTGAATCTCCCTTTGTTACTTTTGAAAGCAAACCACTCTGATGTGCCCAAGTCCTGGGGAGAGCTGACCCCTCCTGGCCTGGACCTGAGATGGCTCCTCTCTCTTCCCCTCCTTGACTCTCCTGCAGAACCTTCTAATTGCGTCAGCCCCTGTGGGAAGCAGCACTTGCTGCAATGCTCACTGGAAGAATAAGGAGGAAAGACCACCCGTGGAGGGTGGGGTCTCACTCCAGGGGGGGCAGTAACCTCCAGCCTTTGTCATGCCGAGGCTGGCAGTTGACTCAGCTTCAGCTCTGCTCTTGCCATCCCCAGAAGCTGAGGTTTAGGCCATGAAAGATCCAGGTCCCAAGGACACCTACCACTTAGTGACTGAGTGTCTCTTACTCTGAAACCTCTTAAAAGATGCTCAGAAGCTTCGTGCTCCTCTACGCAGAAACAATAAAGCACAGCACTAGTGTCCACAAGGCTTGTCCTGCAAATAGTTCAAAGAGCCCTGACACTGTGCAAAGATATTATAATTTACTGCAACATGGAAACTTAGACAAATGCAAAGCAATCTGCTTCCCATGTTTCATGCACAGCTCAAGGAGAGGAAGCTGTGCAATCACACAGCAATACAGCACTCCTTTGGCCTGCCTCTGCTGGCAGCTGCACCTGCTAGGTTCTCACCTAATTTCATTCTCCTGTGTCCACCTCTCACCTTGTACAATGTCAGAGGGAGCCTTGCGTGTCTCTTTACTTCCCTCAGTCAAAACCAAATGCCCAGAAGACCTCTAAGTAGCCATCCAGCTTCTTACTCCCTCCCCAGACCCACCCTGCTGGCACCTCACATCTCCAGGGGGAAAGAAATCTTCTAGACAGGAGTCACCACCAGCCACCAGAGGGGCCCAAGACAGAGTCCTTCTTAATTTAAAGATTTAACTTGAGCATCCCAAATTCATGATGTTCCAACTCGAGGATGAGGAGTGTGGAGAGCTTGAGATTCTCTCCCTTAGTTTGCTGTACCCTTCTTTCCTCCCATTTCTCAGCTCTGCAAGATCACAGCACGGGGGAGGACACTGCGTAGCGCTCTGCTTACCACCAGCAGGCTATGAGTCCTTTTAATCCTCCCACCTCTGTAGATTGCTTTCATTTTTCGGTTAGTGACTTTGAGGGCCACCATGTGTAATAATGATTAAGAGAACAAGCTACAATGATAATCCCAACTTCATCACTCACGCGTTTATGTCTACCTAGCTTGAGGATAATAACTGTGCCTACCTCAAAGGATGGATCATAAAAATTAAATGATATAATGTTTGTAAAGTGTTGAGAATGCTCCTGGCACCTTGGAGGTATTCGATAAATGTCAGTTACCATTATTATTGCTATTGGATATTCACCATCATCACTTCTTCTACTTTGGCCAGGTCCCAATCTTTCTAACTCATTTCCCACGCACCTTAGAATCAGTAGTGTCCTGTCTGTTGACATAGTCCATCAGTAGTGTCTCCAAGCCAAGGCAGTGCGGGCTGGCAAGGTCCCCCATCCTCTCACTTCATGTTTTCATGTTCTCAGCCTTTCCTCACAACCAGGAATTGACTGGACACAGCCTTGTGGAATCAGTGTGGGAGGAGACTTGAGTCTTTCTCTAGGCACATCAAGCTGTTTGAGAATTGATACAAGAAAGTGACCCAGTTGGGTGATCTTCTACCCATGTCACTGGAGGGTAATAAAAATGGAGGGACTTGGAATAGAGAGCCATTATCTTTCCTTTCACAAACACAAATAGCAAGCTGAAACCCGGTCAGGGTCTGGAATGTAAGCATTCTAGAAACATGAAGCCAAACATGCTAAATTTACTACAACTGATACCTGCTTATCACTGGTCAATAAGTCACACTTAACCTACTTTGAAATCCTGCAACATGAGACTACAGCCACTGCACCCCAAGTGTGTGTATGTGTGTGTACCCATGTACACATGCACACACCCACAGGATGCACCCAAACCTATACATGTGCCATCTGAAAATGAGAATGTTCCCATCACCAGTGACATGGATCGGGTCATAATTGATTTTCCATAGACAAATGCTTTAAATTTTGGTAAACCTCTTGTAACATCTTAGTCAAATTAAACTGAGTCCTTTCAAGTCAGATTTATAGTCCATAGGATTTCACTTAACTAAGACAAGCAATGCAATTTCAGGGCAATTTAAAGCATATTTCATTTAGAGACAGAACCAATCCCTGTCAAGGCCCTGGAGGTAACAAGAAATCTTCCTCTTTTCATTTGTTTGGAGGCCACTGAGGTCTGGGCCAGGGTGTATGGGGAAGTAGGAGTGGGGGTGGGGCACCAGAGTCTCACATGGTGCACTGCGAGGGACCTGTACAGTTCTTCTTGCTGCAGGGCAAGTGACCCAGAGGAGGGGGATGGGAAGGAGAAGGTAGAGCCCCCCTACAGCATGCACAGCCTTCCTGATGTTTAGGAGAACATGTCCATCCTGGATGCATGAATCACTCAGAGGCTCTTCATCCCCACTGCAACATTTGTGAGGGCACAAGAGTAGGGGTCTGAGCACTGACTGGACTTCCATCCCCTGGGCCTGCACCCCCAAATAAGGTGTAACCTGGGAAATAGCCCTTCTTTAATGCTCCCTCACTGGGGGATTTTAATTTAAATATAAAAAGACTGGGACACACAAAGCAAGGAGTTCATATAAATGTAGGCTGAGTGAGTAACTTGAGCCAAGTCTGCCTGATTCTAAAATCCAAGCTCTCTCTTAATTCACCATGGACTTTGAGTTCAACTGAAGGGCTTAGCAATCTTTTTGCAGGAAGAACTGGCAGGATAAGAGCATCAAATCTTCGAAAGTGCTATTGGGAAAGGAGAGCAGGTGTGTTCAGGTGGCCTTTCAGCTCCTGAGGCCCCTACTGAGGCCTCAGGAGGCCCAACTCCCTCCATTGACCCAGAAGAATGACAGACAGTACTTGTGCCTGAACCAAGACCTGGGGCTACTTTGTTCTGCTGTTGTAAAATGCAACTATAGCCTTCTGTCCTGCCAACTCAGAGGTTGTGATAATCAAGGGATGAGTAAAGGAAAGCACTTGCAAGTGAAATGAGGAAATAAGAAGTATACATTGGTTTTAACAAAACTAAAAATATGCCATTTAAGGGATTGTCTTTTATGTTGAGAGACTTCTAACTTGCGTTTTTAAAAATACCCCTGGGCTTCCCTAGTGGCACAAGGGGTTAAGTCTTAACACTATGAAGCTATTACCACTGCAGCCTGAGTTTGATCCCTGGCCAGGGGGCTAACCTACATGGCACAACAGACCTCTCCTGTCTCGCCTGCTGCTCCCCTCAGTAGCATAATTCAATAGATCTGCCTGTTCTGCTCCTCACTCTGTCTCTGGTGAATCTTCTCACCCCCTGCACCTCTGGCCTGAACCCAGATCTTGTATGCATAAATAAATAAATCTTAAAAAATTTGTATCCTCCAATTGGGTTAAAATATTATTAAAAAAAATAAAAATACCTCTTATTAAATGAGAGAGAGATGTAGGTGTATATGGTTTTGTTATAGTTTGAGTCTTATAAATCCCTTACCTGGTAAAAAAATTAAATTTGGCAAGCTTTTTTCAGTATAAAAAAATGCAAATGCACTTGTGCATGTGTATGTGTGTGTGTAAGTTTACAGATCCACAGTCCCAACATTCCCTGTCTTACAGGGAATGAATATTGGTGTAGCCACTATGGAAAACAGAATTCCTCAAAAGTTAAAAATAGAACATCTGATGTAGCTATTCCAGTTTGGGTATTTATCTGAAGAAAATGAAAACACTAAATTTAAAAGAGATAAATTCATCCCTACATTCACTGCAGCATAATTTACAATGGCCACAATAAGAAACAATCTAAGTGTTCATTGGTAGATAAATGGATAAAGAAGATGTGGTGTATATGTATGGTGTGTGTGTGTGTGTGTGTGTGTGTGTATAAAATACCATATATATCATAGAATGCTACTCAACTATGAAAAGGACAAAATGTTGCCATTTGTGACAACACAAAAAGACCTTGAGCATATTGTGCTAAGTGAAATAAGTCAAACAGAGGAAGACAAATACCACATGATTTCAGTCATGTGATGTATATAAAGAAATAGAGCAAGTAAACAAACCAAAACAAAACAAACTCTTAGACATGGAGAACAGATTGGTGGTTACCTGAGGAGAGGGGCTTGAGGGATGGGTGAAGCAGACAAGAGGGTAAATTGCATCACCGGCAGGTAGAAATTTGACTTTGTAGAGTATACAGATATTGAACTATAGCACTCTATACCTAAAACTTACATAATGAATTAGTGATATATAATATAATGACATAGACCAATTATTATAAAAATAAAAAATTTTATAAAAATTTATTTTAAAAAACTCATCCCAATGAAGACATCCCATCCCAAGAGAGACAACTTGAGTTATGTAAAGCAGTCATTATTTTTTGTAGTTTAAAGAGCAAGAGATTTGTGGACAATGTAATCTGCTCATTAAATCTAGAGAGAATGCAATTTCAAATTAGACATATGCACATCTATACAGGAGAGAAGGGCCACCACCAGTACACCAAGTAGACTGAGACAGTCTTTCAATGTGATAATGCAGGTTCCCTGGGATCTGTGAAATCACACTATATTCCCTAAAGTACTTGGGTCTTTTATATTAGTTTCACTAGGGTAGTTCTGGTTCTTACTTGTAGCAGAGCCTGGTAAATGAGAGGCCACCTGAGAAGCAATTAAATTAAACCAGGAAATCTTTCCTGTTCATTCCATCTTGTCCCTAAATAGTTTACACATCAATTGAACTGGGAAAAGCTCATGGTGGTTTATGATGATTACTCCAGTAGGGGTCAGCGCCTAATGAGTTGGGTACTTATCTGTGACCCCAACAAGATGGCTGTAAATGAACAGATAAGAGGGCCAATGGGACTAGTTCTCAAAGCTGCCCATGGATCAAGATAACAGAAGCTGATGGAGCTAAGTAGACTGAAAAGTAGAAGCTGGTAGAGTTGGCTGGATTGAAACATCTAGGGATTTTTAATTAGAAAAATAAGATGTTTATCTAGCTCTCTATGTATTAGAAAATTCTTATTCAACACACTTTGGGTATTTTGCCTCCTCTTCTTTCTTTAAAATATCTCATAAACTTGTAATTCCCATAAAGTGACTCAGTAGAGGCAGAAATCCTTACTTGTTACAGAAGACTTGTGTGACAGTCAAGTGGAGAGGCAGAAGGAAGCTTACTCACCGGTGCCATCCGAGGAACATCCTGAAAATGACAAACCAAACAAAATCTTAGGAAAAGTGCATTTGCTGTAAATAGCTAAAATCATAATGACACATTCTATGGCATAATCAAAATTCTCAATGATTGGCAAACTAGAACAAGTAATTGCTGTTTTTTTTTTCCATTCAGTAGCTGTATTAGACAGTTTTTTTTTTTCTGTTAGAATATTGCATAACAAACAATCAAATCTCAGTGGCTTTGCAGCAACAAATATTTGCTTTAAGCTTGTGGGCTGAAGTTTGGCTGTGGTCTGGCTGATCTTAGCTGGGCTCAGCTGTGTTATGTTGGATCCAGGTCTGTTCCATGGTTTCTCATTCCAACAGCCAAGCTTAAGAAACTACAGCTGCCTGGGGCATATTTCTTTCAGTTCTTTCAGAGGGAAGACAAATAAAAAACTAGACCCTCAGGTAGGAGCTGGCACATTGTCATTCTTACCCATATTCCAATAATCAAAGCAAATCACAAGGTCAAGTCCAAAGATGTGTAGAGATGTATACTCTATGAACTGTGGCAGAAGGAGCTGAAGTCACAGGGGGAACATGAAATTATAAAAATTCTCTTATGTCAATGAATTGGGAACAGGAATCCAACTCCACAACACCATAAAAAGAGCCAATTTCTGCTAAATGTGTGTCAATATCCCAACACAACTTGTAACCAAATCTATAGTCACAAGTGCTGTCAAGCTCCTCACCACTATCCTTTACCTCCTTGGCACCACCCTATCTATTTATACATCATTAGTAAGGAACGAGGCATGGAGTTTCCTCTTCTCAAATAAAACATCAGTTATTACTTTCATCTTGGAAATAGGTGTCAGGTAGACAGCATGCCAGAGCAGAAAAAGCAGAGTGCTAAGGCTAAAATAAGTGATTTGGGATGAGGAGCTAACCTCTCACTGCTAAGTGATTTAATAGAAAGGGTACATTTTTATTTGAAAGGCTTGAAATGAAAAGGTGGGATGCCTTTGGCAGTTAGTTTTCAAGATTAATATTTGTATCTTCTGGGTTACATGAGAAGATATGGGAGTTCTATGGGTTTAACACTAGGGGCAGAGTCATTCCACTTCATGGGACACTTGTTGGACATGAGGCAGCTGGATCACAGGGAAGAGCTGGAGTGACATTTGTGTGTTCTTCACCTCACTCTGCGTGATTTGCTTCACCTAAGTAGGGCTCATGAACTCCACAGGCTGCTAGGTTCGTACCAGGAATAAGTGGATCTGGCGAGGAGTCAGGAAAACAATTGCAAACGCATGAGAATTGATGGCAGTTGACACTCAGCCTTTGCATCAGGAAGATGACAGACTGTGGTGAGGACTGAGATCTTCTGGAGGGCACCCAGGATATCTGGGTGCCCTCTAGAAGAGGAGCCTTTCGTTAATTAGTTCCAGCTAACTGCCAAGTGCCAATGTGGGGCCTCTCTACCAGAGGTTAAAATTATTCAGAAGCCAGAAATCTGAGCAAAATCTCCTAATAGTCAAATATGATAAATTCAAAGATGATAAATTCTACTGCAAAAAGAAAACAGGAAACAAAGAAAACAGGAAGGAAAATGGAAAGACAGAAAGAAGATAGGGAGGGGGGAGGAAGAGAGGAAAGAACAGCTAGACGGAGGGAGAAGACAAGAAAAACCACTTTGCAGGTCTATCCTGAGGATGAGACAAAAGCCATTCACAAACCAAGGTCAGCTGGATGGCCAGTCTGTGACCTCCATGTCTGAGATGATACCTTAACCCCCCCACCACCTCAGGGCGCCGCAGCACACAGGGGCAGATATGGTGACTCCCAACTTCCCCCGAGTGAGACCATCACACCATCTCTTCATTAGTGCTTAAAAGTGACATGAATCCCACAAATAGCAAACCCAAATTCAAACAAAAATATATAAATGCATTTTTTAAAAGCAAAGCAGCCATAATTGAGTAATTTTTCACTCCTTTGAATTACCCATACTATTACTCCCAGGAGCGTGGATAACAGAATTTAATATCAATATTTAACTTGATCCATGTACTCGATGAGAGAATGAGCTTCTGTTTATGAAATATCCCTTGTGGGTCAACACTGTGCTAGCAGTTATGCCAATTGTAGAATCCGGGGAGTCCTCCATGAGCTCATGCTCTAGGGGGCCAGCGGTAGGAAGACTTACCAGCCATGGGATGGCCAGCCTCACCCTGACCCCTCCTGCCCCTTCCCAGGCTGAGTGTCCTGAACAATGGACTTGATCTCCTCAACTTCCTTTTCTTCTTCCTGGGAAACTGAGCACTTTCTAGATTTGCAAAAAGGATTCAAGATAGTATGCCTCAAGTCCAGAGTTCAATACCTGGTGCTTACCAGCTGCTGAGAAAACTTTTTAACATTTCTATGCCTCGGTTTCCTAATTTACATGTGGGGATAATAACAGCTCCTGACTGAAAAATTGATCTGAGGATTAAGGAATATAGTGAGTGCATATCTCTTAGAATGAAGGCCAACCCTTAAAATTGATGTAAATTAGCAATAACATTTTCTGTACTTACTACTATTATTACCTAGACTTCATTATGGGGCAAAAAAATCAATCAACTTTGTATTGGGTCATCCATGTCCCAAATGAGATATTTTCATAAACAGAAATGTTCTTTGTAATTCCAGGAACTGGCTGACCTTTCCGCTCACACCTTTTCTGTGGTGGAAGTCATAATTAAATGCTTTGATTTACAAGAAAGAAAATGAGACCTCCTTCTCTTCGGTGGTGTCACAGTGCAAACAGAGGCAGCATCTGTAGTAGTTACCAGCTCTTGGAGAGAGGGGGCAGAGGCCACATCCACATTGTCTTCAATCGTTTCCACCGGATGAGACACATGGAAAAGTGGCATCTGTGTCCAAATAATCATGCACACACACAGTGTGGATGAATTAAGTGTTGCCAAGTCCAGGGAAGGAGGCAGCCTGAAATTTCTGGCCCTGCTTTCCTGGGGCACAGGTCTCCACGTGTGCACTGCATGGATCAGACACTTAGAGGCTTACTTAGAGGCTTGGGCATGTAGTTTCTTGGGATGAGGAGGAAAGAATAGCAGTCAAGGAAAAAGAAGTGCAGAGGAGAAAATGAACTCCATCATTTTGAGTTATCTTGCTGTTCAGGCCGTAAATTGCATTCTTTTGGAAGGATTCTGACAATAAGGAAAGCAGGTGGGTGGGACTCATCTGTCATGTGTCTCTGAGGAAGAAGCTTAATTTATTTATTCCTCAGTTTCCCCCATTTACAATAATAACATTTAATTGTCTGAAAGGTACTTGGAGATCCTGGAAAGCAAGGCACTCTATTAAAGCTAATGGTTCTCATTACCCATTGGGGTCTTTGCTCCTGTCATCTAAGCAGCTTGTGCCCTTGATGCCAGAGACAGATGCAGCCTGAGAGAGCAGTAGAGGGGAAGGAAGTGGAGGAGCAATTGGGCTGCTGGGGAAGCGAGAGAGCAGAATGGCAGTTTTCGAGTAGCTGCTTAATTGACAGCCCCTCCTTCTCACAAGAAAGCTGGCAGGAAGCTTTAATATGAACAGAGTCCCCAGAACAGTGAAAAGAGACAAGAAGCTGGCCTTAATGGGGTCAAACTTGGGGGAAGGTTGAGCAGGTAAGCAGCGATGCCATGTGCTACCTCCCTACAGGACCTGATGAGAAAGGTCCTTCCCCCTTAGGAGCCTGTTGTGGCTCTTAAGTCATGAGAAGCAGCTGTAGGACACCTTCCTTAGCATCCCACCAGCTCCTTTTGCTAAGTTCCCAGGAATTGTACAATCTCTGCTGGGAGGCAATGGCACAGGTTGGGGTGTAAGAAGGGGTGCTGCTGAGCTACTAAAGGCTAGTTAAGCTTGAAAGGCTACTTCCAAAAGCACCTGGTTGAGGGGCATAAAATGAACAGGATTACAGATCTGGGTCATAGACACAAGAGCACACATTCTGGCACAGCTAAAACATGCACACATATACATAGACCATGAACACATACATGCATGAAGTTGCATAAATCTGTATATTCAAGAAAGAGATTGAAAGAGATAGATGCTCCGTTATTTGAAAGGTGAAGGGTCATTCAACCTGAGAATTTCAGAAACAAAAAAACATGTTTTGGATCAACATTAAACATATATTTTAAAATCAAAACCAGTGGACTTTGCACATAGCTGGGACTCAATATTTACTGTATGACTAAATGGGGGTAAGGAAGTAAGAAAAGGAAAGGGAAGGAAGAGTCTGGTAAATTTCAAAGCAGAAAAGATTCCAGATGAGGTGAGAATGACCTCGATGGTCAAATTGGTTTTCCTGCATCATGACTGACTATGACGAGATAAATTCCCCTTCATAGAAATATTTAAGAGGGAGAAGAGTGATTCTGGGTCCAGATTGGCTTAGGTCCAATGTTTCCTCCATGCCCTGCCCTATTCTAGAATGTTTCCTCCCTCTTTGGCGGGGGGAATGGAGGTGAATAGCAGTGGTAGAATCTTTCTTCTCAGGTTTTGCTTCAATCGCTGCCCAAGTAACCAGCTTCCTTGTGATGGGACAGAAGCAGGTTCACAGTGAGAAGCCACCGACCTAGAGGGGCAGCCTGCACTGCCAGAACAGAACTCTCAGAGTGGAGAGCAGTCACCTGTCCAGGAGTTCTGGGATGTTTTTGTGGTTTCTGTTGCTTGTTTCTCTTTGGCTTCCTCTTGCTATTTTGTTAGGGCCTCTGTTGACTTTTGACATTTCAGTCTCCCTCAGCTGTGTTAAGAAAGATAAGAGAAATTTATCTGTGTCCACACAAACACACATATGGATTAAAGAGACACAACTCCCTTGAGGAGGGAGTGTGGAAACCGCAGTGGGACTCCAAACAGAACTCCTCTACCTACAGGGAAGAGAAATCTCAGGAGACAGTTGGAGAGCTAGTTTCCCTTCCAGCAGAGTTTTCTTCTAGTGCTAAAGCCCATGAACATTCAATACTTCTTTTAAATAAAGGCAACAAT